TGTTTTTAATCAAAAATTCTGTTTTCTTGCTTTCAAGATAATATAGTTTAAATTATTTCTGAATATTCGTTTATGTGTTTTCATTCGTCGTAATTATGTGTTGAACTCACAGTGAAAATTAGTGAAAATTAGTGAAAAATGACAGAAAAAAGTGATAATGAAAACTAATAATGAAAGATGACAGTGATAGGTGACAGTGAAGTTTCTTGAGAGTTTTTTCAGAGTTTCTTTTATTTATGAGAACAGTAAGGATCGGTGGATCGACCCAGTGACAGAGATGCATTTTCATCGTGATTATTTGCGGGATGAGTTACATTTAAATTTATTAATTATTCAATTCAAATTTTTATTTGTTGAATAGAAAAGTTATTTAATTTTTTAAAAATGAGACTTTGTTCTTTTTCATCATCACAATATCGAACGAAAATAATTTTCCATATTTTATCCATTATTTCTTTGGCGTAACGAATAAACGTATCGAATAAATTCGATTTATTCTTATTACGTGAGTAGGGACGGATGGAATGCGAGTGACTCATTCATATAGTTTACGGTGTATACAGTGTTCGGCGATATTACGGTAAGTACAGAGACTGCTTAACAATTAAATAATCAGTTGTCTTAAAAGTAAACGCAAGGTATGGTAATGATCGTGCTGGCAGAATTACGCATTGCTATTTTGCGTCGTAGATTGCTCGGCATCGGCATTTATCGCGACTGGAAGGAAGCAGATTTTTGAAATGGGACGCGTATATTCCGAATGCGCAGTTTTTACGGTGACGACTCTGACCAGACCGTCGTTTCCTGGATAGCACGCGGTGATTCGTCCCAGCTCCCATCGACTGGGTGGAAGATTGGGATGGCGGAGTAGCACGAGCTGATCCACTTTGGTAAGATTTTGTTTCGTCTTCCATTTCGGTCGTTGATGCAGGGTATGATGATAATCGTTACTCCATGCTTTCCAGAAAGTTTCGGACAATTTTTGGATCAGTTGCCAGCGAGATAATCGATTGTCTCTTACATTTAATACGCTTGGTTCAGGCGAGGTTACAAGTGGTGCGCCGATTAAAAAATGACCGGGTGTTAACGCGTTGTAATCGTCAAGACTATCGGAAACAGTTCCAATCGGTCGCGAATTCAAACACGCTTCGACGCGACATAATAGTGTGGTTATCTCCTCGAATGTTAAAGTGTGTTCGCCGATGGTATGCTTTAAATGGTATTTCGTACTTTTAACCGCGGCTTCCCACAGGCCGCCGAAATTGGGAGCGTTTGGGGGCAAAAAATGCCACTCTATTTCGTCGTTTATTAGTCGATGGTGAAGATCCGCAGAATTGATGGCTGACCGAAAGGACATGCTTAGTTCGCGGTTCGCTCCTTTGAACGTGGTACCGTTATCCGAATACATTGACCGAGGAAGTCCACGGCGAGAGACAAATCGGCGATACGCTGCTATAAACGCTGACGAACTATAATCGCTGACTAATTCTATGTGCGTTGCCTTAACGGTTAGACAGATAAAAATAGCTATGTACGCCTTATGGGATTTTTGTCCACGGCCGGACTTAGTTTTAATTTGGATCGGACCTGCATAATCAACGCCTGTATGAATAAAAGGTCGTTCCACCCTTGTAACTCGCGGTGTAGGTAAATCGCCCATGAGCTCGGAAGGAACGGCGGCTCTCTCGCGCGTGAACGTGACGCATTTATAAAGGACGTTTCTAATGGTGGCTCGTGCTCGGACAATCCAAAACTCGTTACGTAAGTAAGCGAGCGTGAGATTGGGTCCCGCGTGTAATAATTTTCGGTGGGTTTCTTCGATTAATATGGTAAGGAGTGGGTGTGATCGAAGGATTATAGGTGTTTTTGCTTTTTCAGGAAGTTGGGAATTGGCTAACCGCCCTTTAGTTCGCATCAACCCTTCCTCATCCAGATATGGTGCTAGAGAAAGGAGAGAACTAGATTTAGGGAGAGGTCTGGAAGCTTGTAGAGCTCTTACTTCCTCCGGGAATGCGTCGAATTGGATCCTGCTCAACCAAAATTTTTTGGCGTTTCGGATCGAGGCGGGACTTAAAATCATCGACACCGCGGGAGCTGTTACAGTTTTGATAGGTATTCTTTTATTCTTTTGTTTTATTCGAATACGGAGAACTTGGATGAAATGGATCATGTATGCGGTAATTCGCAAGAGTTTCGACCACGAAGAGTAGCGCGTTACCAAATCCCACTGTTCGACACCGGTGATTAAAAGGGACACAAACGAATTACTTTCTTCGAGCGAGGTCTCATGAAACGAGGAGTTAGCTACGGGATGCCAAGGTGATTGCTGTTGCAACCATTGGGGACCGAACCACCATAATCGATGTTGCTCCAATTGTTTAACGGGCATCCCCCGGGAAGCGCAATCGGCGGAATTGTCTTGTGTTGGTACATGATGCCATTGCGCTTGAGGATTTAGCTCGAGAATTTTCGCTACGCGATTCGCGACGAACATCTTCCAACGGGTGGGCGGTTTACTCAGCCAGGCTAACATGACACTGGAGTCTGTCCAACAATGAGCCTCAATTATTTTTTGATGTAACGCGGTCCGTACGAATCGTAAAAGGCGAGCAAGGAGCAGCGCAGCGCATAATTCCAGTCGAGGAACGCTGACAGTCTTGACTGGGACCACTCGTGTTTTCGATATGAGGATAGAGGTGTGTATGGAGCCATCACACAGCACGCTACGCATGTAAATGGCGGCGGCGTAAGCTTTCGTGGAAGCGTCGGAAAATCCGTGGAGGCTTGCCTCTTACTTCCTCCGGGAATGCGTCGGATTGGATCCTGCTCAACCAAAATTTTTTGGCGTTTCGGATCGAGGCAGGACTTAAAATCATCGACACTGCGGGAGCTGTTACAGTTTTGGTAGGTATTCCTTTATCCTTTTGTTTTATTCGAATACGGAGGACTTGGATGAAATGGATCATGTATGCGGTAATCCGCAAGAGTTTCGACCACGAAGAGTAGCGCGTTACCAAATCCCACTGTTCGACACCGGTGATCAAAAGGGACACAGACGAATTCCTTTCTTCGAGCGAGGTCTCATGAAACGAGGAGTTAGCTACGGGATGCCAAGGTGTTTGCTGTTGCAACCATTGGGGACCGAACCACCATAATCGATGCTGCTTCAATTGTTTAACGGGCATCCCCCGGGAAGCGCAATCGGCGGAATTGTCTTGTGTTGGTACATGATGCCATTGCACTTGAGGATTTAGCTCGAGAATTTTCGCTACGCGATTCGCGACGAACATCTTCCAACGGGTGGGCGGTTTACTCAGCCAGGCTAACGTGACACTGGAGTCTGTTCAACAATGAGCCTCAATCATTTCTTGATGTAACGCGGTCCGTACGAATCGTAAAAGGCGAGCAAGGAGCAGCGCAGCGCATAATTCCAGTCGAGGTACGCTGACAGTCTTGACTGAGGCCACTCGTGTTTTCGATACGAGGAGAGAGGTGTGTATGGAGCCATCACACAGCACGCTACGCATGTAAATAGCGACGGCGTAAGCTTTCGTGGAAGCGTCGGAAAATCCGTGGAGGCTTGTGGATTGAATAACTCGCGGTGCGAGTTTTCGTGGGATGGACAGATGCTCCAGGTCGGGCAGTTGTTCATAGAACGTCTGCCACTCCGTGAGGAGGGTTGCTGGAAGAACATCATCCCAATCGCAGCGGCTAGACCACAATGTCTGCATATATACTTTAGCGACGATGAGAATAGGCACGATCCAACCGATGGGATCGAAAAGTTTTGCAATGGTTGAAAGGATCACCCTTTTAGTTCGAGGCAATTCGGTCGGTATGTTCAATTTAAAATTAAACGTGTCTAACGCTGGATTCCAACTAATACCAAGCACTGAGATTATTTCGTTGGTTTGTAAAGATTTACCGGTAGCAAGGCCGTGGTTTCTCGGATGAATGTCGGACAAGAGCGTGAAGTCATTACTCGCCCATTTTCGTAAGGAGAAGCCTCCTGTTCCTAAGAGCTCGATGGTTTGATCTCTTAGGTGACGAACGGAATCGTGACTATCGCCTCCGAACAGGAAATCGTCTATGTAAACTTGCACCCGAAGAACGGAAATAGCCGCTGGAAAATGAGAGCCTTCGTCCTCGACTAACTGCTGTAAGACGCGAAGGGCTAGAAATGGGGCCGGAGCAGTACCGTATGTGACCGTGAGGAGATGATACTCTTCAGCGGGTTGTAGAGGAGAGTCACGCCACAGAATTTTTTGGTAGTCGAGGTCTCGAGGATCTACAAGAATTTGGCGGTACATTTTCTCCACCTCTGCGGTGTACATGTATTGAAATTGACGCCACCGATTGACGCCACCATAATAAGATGGCAACAAGATCTTGTTGGAGTTTTGGCCCAGTTAGAAGAAGATCGTTTAAGGATATTCCATTCGACATTCAACGCGAAGCGTTGAAGACTACGCGTAAGCGGGTGGTTGAGCTGCTCTCACGAACAACGGCGTGGTGCGGTACATAATATCCCTGATTTGAGGGAGAAGGAGAAAGAGCAACTCGTTTCATGTGACCCAGAGAAACATACTCGGAAAGAAATTCGTGATACATAAGAGAGGTTGCGGAATCGTGGCTTAAGCGTTTTTCAAGTGCACGGAGACTTTGGAATGCTGCTGATCGCGATTCCCCTAAACGAGGTGGAGGTTCGGTTTTAAAGGGTAATCGAACAATGTAACGTCCATTTGGTGCGCGGCAATGCGTTAATTTGAAATGGGATTCGCATTTTTGATCTTCAGGTATCAGTAGAACCGGAGAAGAGAGGTCCTCGACTTCCCAGAATCGGCGTAGATTCTGGGAAAAGGTGGTGGATGCCGACGGAGGAGGGCATGGAGGTGCTGAAAGGACCGGAGAGGATCCATCCCAGAGTGGTGTTTTCAGCAACGGGAGTATAGGCGGAACCCTTTCTCAAACCTGGCAATAAGAGCTGCCCGTACAAGTCGGCTCCAATGATAACGTCGATTGGATCCGAGCTCATGGGTTCCTGGTCCGCTAATTTCAAACCTGCAAGGTGAAACCAATTAGTCACTTCCCCTTTTTGGGAGGAAACGTACCTGGTTAAAGAAGGCATAATGATTGCAGTCGTAGAGTATGCAGGTTCGTTTGAAACGGCTGGCGATACTGTTATTTCGGCGACATAGTTGGTGTACGATATTTTTCCGCCAATTCCGGTAATTCGATTCCGTTGCTTGGTCCGGTGCAGGCGCAGCGATTGAGCTAAATGCTCTGTTATGAGGGTGGCAACGGAACCTTGGTCCACCAACGCACGGACGAGGACGCAACGACCCTGGTTCGAATGTATTAGTACGCGAGCTGTGGAGAGCA